ACACACACACACACACACACACACACACACACACACACACACACACACACACACACACACACACACATCAAGGCTGCCTAATCACGAAAAGCGCGCCATTTAAGGATACTCTCAAAGTTTTAGGCAACATTTTACCGATTTTTCATTTTCGACTTTATTCGATGGCTAACACTATGTGCCACCTCTGTACATGCTCATTTCTCTATATAACAATACGTGTGAACTTTTAGAGCGTTTTGATTGCCCGCGTACACGTGTAGTGAGCCGCAGCTGACGTCACTGATGACGTCAGAAACATGATACAACCAGCATTTTCATGATATTCACTAAGCCAGTATCATTCAGTATCAGCCCTCCTACAGTGGTCATCTGCTAGTGATAGTTGAAATTGCTGCGCGCCCGAAAATAGCCCCGTTTAACATGTGGCAAAAATTTTGTATCCCTACTCTTTCTGGTAGTTGAGAAATAACCAAAATACCATTTTTACATAAAAAATCAACATTTTGTGGGTGTATAATTAGGTGCTGGAAATTTCATGAAATTTGTTGGCTTTAGCATTGAGATATATCTCCTCTATAAATAAAACAAGTGATTGATTCGATTCATTCGTCAATAAACGTTTAATATTCATTAGAGCAATACCCGTGCAAAAGGTTGAGAGTATCCTTAGTCATCGGAGTGCATTTTTGCGACAATATCTTTCAGCGGCTACGCACGCACGCACGCACACACACACACGCACACACACGCACGCGCGCGCACACACACGCACGCACGTAAATACGCATGCACGCACGCCCACATACATGTGCATAGTCTTCATATCTTATCAGTCGTTAAGATGATCTGCATATATAGTTAACATGATTTTCCCATGTAGCTGCATGGTGACGTCGTTTGCTCGCGCTATCGCTTGCCCACGCGGTATTTACTTACCCGTATAAAGTTGAGCGAGATCGTGCCGATGTGGCTCAAGATCCGGAGCTATATGCAACAAAATACAAGATTGTTTGCGATGCGCTATAGCAGCTAGGTCTCTAATTGTATAATAATGGCGTGATGTATGTGCGAATATCGTCGCTGTTTCATCGTACAGTCTGTAATACAAGTGTATCTATTACACTACAGTGAGTACACAAGCAGTATTTACTACACTACAGTGTGTACACTGTGTAAACAAGCAGTATTTACTACACTACAGTTTGTACCATAGGGGCCCCTATAGCAGGCCCGTAGCCAGGGGGGGTTCGGGGGTTCGAACGAACCCCCCCCGGCCCCAAGCAAAAAAATTTTTTTTTTAAATTTGCAAGAATTTCACCTCAGGTCGCTCTATTTTAGTGTAATAATTGCAAAATCTCCATCGTGCGGGAGCGCAACACTCGCAACACCCCCTCCCGCTCGGTCGCTTGGCTCCCTCGCCTGGTCGCTTCGCGCCCGAGCAGGGGCGTGTACAGGGGGGGTCCAGGGAGTCCGGACCCCACCTTGCTCGCGCAGAAAACGCATCTGAGGGGGTGTAATTATAAAAAAATTTCTGGGGGAGGGCCCCCCAGACCCCCCCTTCGCGTGCTCGCAACTTCGGGTTACGGTTAGACCACCCTGGTACAAATCCTGTACACGCCCCTGCCGAGCAAATTTCCAACATTGAAAAAGAACCCCCCCCCCAATACAAAGCTGGCTACGGGCCTGCCTATAGCCACTATAGTACAGTGACTACACTACAGCGTCGATCATATATAGCCAGCAATACAGTGAGTATATACCACAATATTGTCACTAGTACAGTGAGTATATACCACAATATTGCCACTAGTACCAGGGGCGGATGCAGGATTTTGTCTAGGGGGGGGGGGGGTGCAGGTGGGAAAGGGCACTTTGAGATTTTGTTAGGGGCAGCTGAAGCGGTGGGGGGTCGGGGGGCCTCCCCAGA